TTCTAGTTAAATTTAGTTACTAAATAATTTAGTTTGTTTTCTCTATTCTAAAACAATTTAAAAATTGATATTATCAATTTATTTTTATTTTATTTTATTTTTAAAAAACAGTTTGTTAAAATTGATATAGAAAATAGAACTTGAAAGCTAAAACCTAAATTCTTTCAAAAAAATTCTTAATCTTTGATACTAACCGCTTAGTGAAGTCTTATACCTCAAATTGGGTGAAGATTTTCTGCCGGATAAATTGCATTTAGTGAAGTCTTACCGCTTAATATTTTTGTACAATAAACATTTTGAGAGAATTAAAGGATGGTGATATAAAGTAGATACTCTCAATGGTAATATAAAGTAGCTAAATCGGTCAATTCAAAATTCAAGTGAGATTTTAAAATCAATTAAAATTTATTTTCTTGTTTATTATAATTTAGGTCGGTTTGAGATTAAAGATCAAATAAACATCATTCAAAATTTAATTTTTTTAGTATATGTTTGGTACATCGTTTTATGGAAAAAATTTATCTGCAAAGACATTTTGATAATAATTTGAGACTTTTCAAGAAAAAGCCATACATAGTAGCTTCTTTAAAATTAAATTTTGTCTCAAATCCAACATATATGTACACGTACACGCACACGCGCGCACAGATACTTACACACAATATAGACAAGTACTATCTACATCTCTTGGATTGCTTCTACATCTCACGGTAAGGGGATGCATCTTCAGACATAATTTTTTTACACACTCATCAGCGTGAATTGGTGTGCCACTCATATTTTGCCGAATTTATTTTGGAGATGCATCTCCATATCAACATCATGATGAGTTCGAAGATGCATATCCGTAAAAACCCTTAATTCAAAACTCAGTGAGTTTTGCGAAGATGTATCTCTTGACATGTTTAATTCATATACTTGCGTCATACCCTTCCCCATTCCTTCTTCATTTGCTACAAACTCACTAAAACCCCATTTGAGCTCGTGATCAAGTTTCTTCAAGTCCATTTTTAAAAGTTTAACACTACTACTACTTCATTACATTCAATCCTAGGTCATTCCACTCACTTCAATGAAGTTTTTAATCCACAACTACCATTGGGTAAGTTTCAAATTTCATTTCTTTTTCTGAGATATGATGAATGTATTAGCTAAAATAGGTTGTTTAAGATGCATTAGGCAGTGGTTGCATTCGAAATAAGTAGCTGGTATACACATGCATTCCCATTTGGTTGAAGTTTAGGGCATCATTGGGGATTCTGACATTATTCGTGAGTTTATCTAGAGATGCATCTCCGGATTTTGTCTGGATTGGATGCATTTTGATGTGATTTTCTGGTTTTATTACAGATACAATTGCTTAAAACATCTATGACAAGTTAAAGCTCGGTTGTGTGTCCCAACATGCGTCTGTATGACGTGAGAGGGCTAGAGGCAGGCCCATGAGGCCACAAGTCGATGCTACCTCGTTTGATGGTACACAAGGTCGAGGTTCATAACCATCTGCTTCTACTTCCTAAAGTCGCCTGTCTCAGACATCTATTTCACAGGGCCACGTGTCATCTACTTCTGAAGCCCCTGAAGACCATGAAACTTGTGAAACCAATCAAGAGGAACTCGTTGTTGATGTAGACGTCTTTATCGCTCTTGCAATGTTACTCTTAAAATTGATATTTCTAAGGCCTTTGATACCCTAAGCTAGCCTTTTATTATTAAAACTCTTGAGTGTTTTGAGTTTAATGATAAATTTTGCAAGTGGATTCTTGTAATTTTGGAATCTGTTTACCTTTCCATTAGATTAAATGGTAAACAAGTAGGTTTTTTTAATTGTTTTAATGGTGTCAAACAAGGAGATCCCCTCTCTCTCCATTCTCTTTTGCATTGATGAAGATGTGTTGAGTAGATGGATCTCTAAGTTGGTGGCTAATAACCAAATTAATCTTATTAGTTATTACAGGGTCTAGAAATAGTTTTGTTCTCTCCCATACTCTTTATGTTAATAATATCATGATTTTCTACAAAGGCGACCAAAAGTCTATAAAGAACATTGATAAATTGCTTAATAATTATGCCATTTTTTCTGGTCAATTTTGTAACACTTTTAAATCTCTTATCTATGCAAGTGGGATGACTCACAACAGACACAGACTGCTTGCAGACCCACTTGGTTTCACCATGACATCCCCTCATTTCCTATACCTTGGTGCTCCTATTTCCATTGGAAAACCTAAATCTATTCATTTTTAATTCATTCCTGATCAAATTAGAATCAAGCTTGCTGCTTGGAAAACTAGTCTTCTCTCTATGGATAGAAGAGTGCAACTTGTCAAATCAGTTATTCAAAGCATGTTAGTGCATTGCATTACCATATGACTGATGTGCTAGCATCATCAAAGTCATAATGAAGTCCTTGTAGCAAAGTCCATGTACATCCTAACAGAAATAGCTTGTCTCATGCGATTGAATATAATAATAAAAATCAGGATTATTGACATTCAAGTCAAGCTCAACACCTTGTGATCGTAGTGCATAGATTGACAGAGACGGTGCATCAGTTCACGAAAATGGTTCCTCTTGACAAATGAGGATTAACGCGGTGAAAAAAATGAAAGGAAGAATGTTTTGTCCAAATTGTAAATAGTATGTCTCATACTTAATGAAACGAGACACTTCCAAAGTCTAATATAATATGTAGGCAATTTCGTCTACTTTTATATGATGTAATTTTAAATCTTAAAAAACTTTTTTATATTAAGTTATAACCAAAATAATAGTATGTCAAATATTTGTGCGATAGTATTTCAAAATAGTAGTTGAATTTATACATAAGTTTTCGTGCTAAATTTTTTTATAGTTTCTTATGGTTTAATTTTCATTCCTAAAATATATTTGTGACTTAAGTTATGGAAAAATCATTAACAGTGTCCTCTTTTGTCGACATCTTTTCCTTAAATGAAGTATAAAATAATTAATATGATAAAGTCTATGATACAATAGTTCTATGAAATGACTCAATCACACTTCTATTGATAAGAAAAAGTTCATTTTATCCTTCCATCTAATTTTAATAATTTATGAAATAATTGAAACTCCATTTAGTCGATTTGATCGAGATGTTTCATAAAAATGATTTTGTGTTGTATGGATTATGTAACTATTAGATTAAACACAAATTTTGTTGTAAATTTAAGGCTATCGTTACAAATTTTGTTGCATTCAGAGTAAAACTGCTAGTTTAATTGAAATGGAGATTAGAATGTAATTTTGGGTATCTTAGGAACTCATATAAAACTTAGTATTTATTTTTGATTTTAAAATCTTTTTCGGAAGAATTACTAATTTTAAGACACTACTCACTTTCACGCAATCCGTATCAAATTTCGCAACCGTAGATATTTGTTGTTGCACATTTAAATTATAGTTTTTGATTTTTTTTGAAAAACGATAAGTCATAATTAATTAATAAAGTATTGTTGTTGTTTTTAGAAATTAAAAATCTAAATTTTATGATGGAATTCTAATTTCATACTGTCGTGCTGTTAATCGATATCCTAATGTTTTCGTTGTCGCGCAAAGCTTTTGATTTTTTGAAGTAAAATTTTGAACCAAAAAATTATTTTAATATTGAAAATCAATGTTGTTTTATTTTACCATCCCGTCGGAACGACGATCCTCATATCCCTAACTCTAAAAATTTAGTCGGACATAGTTACGAGAAAAATATTATTATCTAATTGTGAATATATTAAACTGAGCATAAAATCAATCTATTAAAAAATAAAAACAAAAACAGTGAATATAGCTTTTAATATTAAAAATTAATCGCAACCGTAAAAATTTAAAAACTAAGACTTATTAAATTGTAAAAATCAGTGCAAATCAATATTAAAAATTAATCATAACAGCAAAATTTCAAAAAATAATAATTGCAGAAATAATAACACAAAATTAAAGCAGAAAACAAAACTTATAAATAAAATATAACTTGCAAATAAAATTGACTTCTGAATTAAAATTGAAAAATGAATTCCAGCAAAATTGCTGTAATGATCCAAATACACAACAATTTCTAATGCTAAGATGCATTAGTCCCTTAATGAGAAAGTACAACATTTACAATAGTAGAATTTCTACCAATAACTTATGACTAAAAACTTAGATAATAAAAAATTAAGACTTAAGTCTATTTATAGAGTTAGAAACAGGTGAAAAACATCTGAAAATCGTGTTGAATGAGTGAGAGAAATATCTGCTGAAGTGGAAAAAAATTGAGTCTTAATGTTGCTATTTTTCAAGCCTCAAAGCCCATGACAAACACCATGAATGTAAAAGTAGAGAACATGACCTTTTTAGGTCCATGGCAAATGCCATAGCTTCATGGGTGAGTGTAAAATTGCTGATTCTTGATTTTTTTTGTTTTTTTGGTGGCGCATTGTCTGCCATGTCATGGCAAGCGTCATGGTGCACGTTATGAGTGTAAAATCTTGGTCTTTTTTAATTTTTTGTCGTTTTTGTTTTGTTTTCTCACACAGATGCTCCTACTTAGCAAATTATAACCCAATAAAATTATATAAAATTGATCCTAAAATATATGTGAATCGAGTCCAAATACATCAGTATTTTTGTGTTATCATAATATGATCAAGTTATAAGAGCAGTCATGAGAAATTGAGAATAAATAAGATATCTAACTAAGAAAATGACTGATATTAAAAAATGAGGCGTGAATATATATGATTAAATTACAAATTTCATTCTTTAATTTGGTAAAAAATTAAGAGGAAGATGATGAATATTATTATATAGTAGAACCTAATTTGAAAATTAAAGGATCAAAATGAAAACAAAACAGTAAATAGTTTAAATGTGTACTTAGTTTAGAAAAAATAAAAAGAGAGGACGATTAATGATAATTAAGCCAAGTTTACACAAAAAAATTAATACTTAGTGCCCGTGGTTCTAAACGACGTCGTTGATTGTGCTCAAGGCGTTCGACGACAATGGAAGAACACCGGAGAAAGAGCGGAAGATGGAGATACATATGGCCGCTGTGGTTAACGCTGTTGCTTCACCTCATTGCCATACTTCTCTTCACCACCGGTTTTCTCCTCACCAGAACCGAACTTCCTTTTTACAGCCACTGCTCCGATGTTTCCACCTCCCCATGCTTCCCTTCTTCTTCTTCCAATAACGGATCTTGCTGGACCGAACCTTCCGTTAACCGTCTTGTTATCATCGTTCTCGATGCTCTCAGGTACTCATCACTACACTAAACACGTGTAGTTCGAATTAGTGTTGCGATTGATTAATTTTGTTTTGTGATTTTTAGGTTTGATTTCGTTGCTCCAAGTACCTTCTTTGCAGGTTAATTATCTCTATTCTCTGTATTATTTGTTTTAATGTTGACTTTAATTTTTGTTATTATAATTAAGTTGATTTTGATTATATGCATTTTGTATCACAGAACCAAAACCCTGGATGGATAGATTGCAAGTTTTGAAAAATATGTCGTCTTCACGACCTTCCTCTGCCAGGATTTTCAAAGCCATTGCTGATCCACCTACCACGAGTTTGCAGCGCTTGAAGGTATATTCAATTTCGTTCTAGTTATTGCATCACAATTTTTGATAATGGCCTTTTTAGATTGACTTATTTGAGTTTACCTACGAGTATATATATGTATTTGTTAGACTATTTGAGAGAACTTATGAAACCATGCTATGACATCTTCATAAGTTGTTTTCAGCTTGTTTCTATAAACTCTTCAGGCTAGTTTTTGAAAGCAGTTTATAGCTTTTTCAAAAACAATTATGGAAATAGCTTATAATATGCGGTTACATATGATAATAAGCTGTAAATTAAGCTGATTATATATATGCAATTATGAAAATAGCTTTTAAATTTGTAATGTTCTCCATTAAAAGATTATTATGGGTCTGTGTTTCCTATGGATATCATAGGAGATTAAATGTTTCTTTGTATGAGCTAATAGCTTTCATCCGGTTTTTCTATAGGGCTTGACAACTGGTGGACTTCCAACTTTTGTAGATGTTGGTAATAGCTTTGGTGCACCTGCTATTGTTGAAGATAATTTCATTAATCAGGTGGTTTTTCTTTTCGATTTTTCCTTGCCTCTAATATTTATGGTTTTAAATATTGGTTTAGTTTTAAATTTGAAATTGCTCCTTGTTTCTATATTACTTAAGTTAATACGAATTGCCGACAAGGCAGTTAGACCCAGTTCTTATTCTAAATACATATCTGTCTACCTACAGTTGTTTCAAAATGGGAAGAAAGTTGTTATGATGGGGGATGATACATGGACACAGTTATTTCCTCATCATTTTGAAAGATCCTATCCATACCCTTCTTTTAATGTCAAAGATCTCCATACGGTAGGCCTTATATTGTGTTAAGTTTGACTTTGGACTGACTTTTTAATCCTTGCAATACATGTTAATTGAGTAGTGGTGGTTTGCATCTTTTTGTCTGGTCTATCATTCAGCAACTGTAATATGACATTGCTTATTTTTTAGGTTGATAATGGATGCATTGAACATTTATTTCCATCCCTATATGAAGAAGATTGGGATGTTCTTATTGCACATTTTCTCGGAGTGGTATGTTTGATATCATTTCTTACGATGCACCTAATAATGATGATATCCTGTATCTTGTTATTCCCATTCTCACCCCTCATCATTTGGATAGGAAATGTTACATGCCCTGTATTTTATTGTTTTGGTTTAGGATCATGCCGGACATATATTTGGTGTTGACTCCATTCCAATGATAGAAAAATTGGAGCAATACAATAACCATTTAGAGGTTAGTTTTGGTAATCCCTGATTATCTGTGGCCTACCCCTACATGATTGTCTGTTCCTTTTCAATTTTTACTGTGTTAAGTGGCATTTTTTGTTAACTAGCGAGTCTTGTATGGTCTATGCTTTCTGCTTCATTTATCTAATCATTTCTGTTATATGTTGTATGCCAACTTCTGTAAATTAACAATACCTCTCCTGTATTTTTGGTTATATATACCAATTTTGTGGTCTTCTATCCAGCTTAGTTTTTGCTGATTTCCATGCCTGATTAGTAACCAAACTAATCCAAATTTGCTTTAGAGAGTTATTGGAGTGCTGGAAAATCAGGCTGGACCTGGGGGCTTACATGAAAATACCTTGCTTGTGGTAATGGGTGACCATGGGCAAACCTTAAATGGTGATCATGGTGGTGGGAGTGCGGAAGAGGTGTGTACCACTCTCCTGGTGTTTTGTTGATATGCTTTTCTTGATTAATACGTAATTTTCCCCAATTTTACTTACGATAATATCTTGTAGGTGGAAACAGGCTTTTTCGCCATGAGTTTTAAGGAGCCTCTTAATTCTGTGCCACCAGAATTTGATAGTTACTCTTGTCAAACAGATCTGGTATTTACTATCTCTTTAATGTTTGTAACATGCATAAACATGCTGGTTTGCGGGTGGCTCTAAGAGCCTTTTGATCCATTTTCAACAATTTTCTGCCTGTTTCCAGTGTACTGCCCCCAGTGTTATGCTAGAACAGTCAAGTTGGAAAACACTAATAATTTTGAAAATTGAGAGTCATAGAATAATGCTTACTGGATAAATATAAAATTAGGGAGCCACTGAAATAATGCAATATTACACATAATATTACCCAATATGTCTTTTGATAATATTATGTATTCAATTGCTTATTTATACATACCATAATATTGCGTAATATATCTAACTCAATGGATATCTTGGATACATTGTCATTGTCTTCATTGACAGAGTGGTCCTCTTACACTTATCTGACTCTCAAGATCATGAAACTAAGTTAGATCTTTATATTATAATTATGTGCTTTGATTTTAATGATTTCTTCTGGTAAATTACCTATCTTGTCTTGCATTTCAGGATGGAAAGAATGTGTGTATCAGCTCTATGCAACAGGTCAGGAAAGCTATTCTGTTCTAATGGTATTTTGAATTTTATATACTGTGCACTATTTAATTAGTTCAAGCCCTGTATTTATCCCTATCATCCTTTACAGCTTGATTTTGCAGTAACTATGTCAGCATTGCTCGGCATACCTTTTCCTTATGGAAGGTGCAGTGTAAGCATCCTGTCTATGTGACTATTGTCTACTTTGTTGTTATATTTGTCTGTTTATATAATTAATTGTAATGTATTCCTTTACCTATCCTCTATATTTCTCAGTAGCTTGTATTTTTTGGGGTGAGTTGTGGGTAAAATGGAAGCTATTTAGGTCTCATAACTTCTGATTTTGTCATTCAGTATTTTATGTTTAGAGGCGGCAAGGGAATAGAGTAGCCATTGCTTTAGAGTATTGTTCTAACTTTTAGTGTTGTTTGATGTTGACAGAAAGTCACTGGAGTTGAAAGGGAACCTATCATGTAAAAAGTTTTTTTTCGAAGAGAATAAAAAAATATATGTTAAATTTTTTGACCAAATGCATATATAAAGTGAAGAAAAACATTTAATCTTGATATGATCTCATACCGATCTATAAACAAAAGTAGTTTTTGTTAAGGCTTGGGCAATCGTCACCCCTTGAGTTGGGCCTGGTTTAAATTTTAAATAAATTTCATGTATTTATCAGGTTCTAGATTTGTGAAGGGATGATTATTGCGCCCAAACCTAATGGGGTATCCAAAAGAATTGCTCAAGAGAAACCAAGCTCCTTGATTGCCATTTGGGTCACCAGACATTGTTTTTTTTTTTTTTTCGTTGTATTAAAGTAGTAATTTCATTTTAGCAACTTTTACATAAAAAAACACATACGAAGAAAAATATTCAAACTAAAATGCAAGCAATGGGTTTGGATACACATATAGGTATGGGCATTAAAGTTGTTGCCTGTGCAGTTTATGTTTGTAAGAGTGTTATAACCCAATTCGAGTAGGGTTACACTCCAGAATTATAGAAGGAAGTGCAGTTTATGTTTGTAACAGTGTTATAACCCAATTCGAGTAGGGTTACATTCCAGAATTATAGAAGGAAGTTAGAGGGAAACTAAAGCAAAAAGAAGGGAAGTTTCATACAATGATTCTCTGCCCTTTTCTCATTACTTACTGCATCTTTATATAGAAGCAAAATACAACAAACTCTCCTAAATTATAGGACCTGTGTATAGCTAACATCATCTCAAAATTATATTAGTTGCATAAAACAGAGAAAATCCTAACTGCTTTTATTCTAAGGGTTGTATTGCATTTGCTGAAGCTTGATTCAATGCACTCCGCGAAGCTTGATTTAATGCACTCCGTGAAGCTTGATTCAATAAAAGAAGCTTTGGTTCATAAAAAAATACTCCTTTATTTTGAAAAAAAAAACGGGTATAAGCGCATGGGCTCTAGTACTTTAACTAAACTTTTCCTATTGCTACTCCCATAAAAATATTCTTTCTGCGAAGCCATACTGATTGGTCACATCGATACATTGTTGATTTTGTATGGCCTAAATCCATTCTTTAATCGTTTCTTCATTCTGGAATCTTCTATTTTGATGTTTGGTTTTGCTTTTTCTTATGGTATGGCATCATGTGGTATCCCATTGTTATGAAAATTTCTTTACTGGAACTATTTTAAGAACTCACAAGGTAATATTTTTCATTCCTCAGCATTGGTAGCATCAATCCTGAATTATACGCGTTAGGAGCTGGTAGTTGGAAATTTGGTCCATCTCAAAAGCTTCCAGAGTCAGATGTCTGGATGAAGAATTATGCTAATGCACTTTGCATCAATACTTGGCAGGTACTTGTTGAATATTAGGTTCTCAATTACAAATTACCATTTCTAGAACTGTCTATATATTCTAAAAAATTGTGAAATGAACCTTGATGGTGCGCACTTCAAAAATATTGGATACCTCTCTTTCCTGGCTGCTGCATTTGCCCGTCACCTTTGAGATATTATTGACTTCAAAACCCAGTAATGTCTCTCATTTAACAAATTACTGATTTTTAAAGATCCCAATGCTTATATTTAACAAAGGACTTGTTGCGGGAATTCTATATTTGATACCACAATGCTGCCCAAACACCTAGACAAGCACTAGACTATAACATGTAAATATTTTTCAGAATGAACCAACACGACTAAATTATCTTTTCCTATTTGATGCTACTAGGATTCCCATATCAAAACTGATCTTTTCTAGATGGAACCAACACAACTAAATTTAGTTTCCTTTGTAACAACTTACATTTTATTTAGTAATGAGAATAGGTAGACACCAGCTAATGGGCTCAAATCAAATAATTGGAAGCCCATGACTTGGAAGGATTACTCATAAGAAATAGGAATGCTTAGACAAAGAGAATTGGTTATTAGTACTGAGCTGGCGAGTTTGTTAGGCCGTAGAACATAAGCAGTGGAGAGGGGGAGTAAAGGGTAGGAAATGAGATGTTTGTTTGAAATAGTTTTTCTGAAGATCTTCTCTCTATGAATAATGAGGATCTCTCTCTTCTGTAATACCTCTTATTTTTAATCTATAATACATCTTTCTATTCCTCTTGAATTATGTTTGTCACATTCGAGTTTTTTATACTCTCAAGCGTGCACATGTGTGTGAAAGACATTATTTAGTCATTTTAACTGTGTACTTTTTCAGGTGAAGAGATATATAGATGCTTACTCAGCTTCGTCAGCTGTTGGATTTTCTCATGATGACTTATCCCGAATAGCAAGTGTTTATGCTGAAGCAGAGAATCATTGGTTGCACTCCACCAAAAAGCTTCTGCTTGATAGTGATGGTGACAGTGATGCATTAATGCCTGCACTTAAGTGGCAAATTGATGCATACTTCAAATTTCTAACAACAGTTGCTGAGTTAGCTCGCTCTAAATGGACCGAGTTTGATTTAAACATGATGGGAAGTGGCATAGGAATCATGTTAATGTCTCTTATATTTCAAGTTTATGCTATTTTAAGGGCCACTAAACAGCTTGGTGTAAATTCTTCTTCGTCGTCTGGAAATTCTTCAATTATCACTTCCTCAAGTTTTACATTATTTTTACTAGGAATACGCTCATGCAGTCTCCTTTCAAATAGTTATATCTGTAAGTGTGAAATTTTCACATGCTCTCCACTTAGTATATCCAGAATGGTAAAAATTCATTGCCATTATGTTTCTCACTTGAACTTTGCTGTCAGTGGAGGAAGGAAAAGTAGCAAATTTTCTTTTGAGCACATCTGGGATTGTGGCATTACGTCAGTCAGTTGTCAAGGAGAAGCTGCTAACAGAAGTATGTGTTTAGTTTAGTTTAATTTAATTTGCTTTCTTCTTTTGTTTTAGAACCAAGTATTTTCTTTGAATTTCTTACATGCTTAGGTATTTGTGCCTGCAGAGCATTGGGTTCCTTCTTTTGAGCACCCTCTGCCGATTCGCCATTGAAGTTGGGCTGTCCAAGCAGGCTGCAACGTCTGCTTTCATGAAAGACTACAGTTCATGGATTGCCAACATAGCATCAAATTTACCTGTTTGGGACTATACAGCAAAATTTATACCAATGCTGATTTTGATTCTGTTGGCATTTTGGCTTTACAAGGCCACCAATTGCAGCTTCTTTGATTGGCCATGGAAGTATGTCATACTGGGCACTATCTTGTGTTATATGCTAATAATTGTGCATTGGATCACAGACAGGGATGAATTTGGTGTTGCACTGATGCCTGAAAGCATTGGAAAAAGTTATATTCCTAGAATTGTTTATGCTATTTCTTTGGGACAATTGTTATTACTGGCATATGGTCAACTATTTAAGCGTAACTCTTTAGATTGCAAGACAAAATTAGTTACAAAAACAACGGCCGTTTTGTCTGCGTGGAGTTCAACTGTCATTCTTCTTTCCGGGAAACAAGGTCCCATAATTGCCTTTGCATCCATAGTTGGAGGTGCTCTTCATTTTTATGCTCATATGCTATATACTGAGTCTCTTTACTTGTTTCTTCAGACACTTATCTGGCATGGCTTTGTTTATGCTGTTAATACCTGTAGATTAGCATTGGTTTTTGTCATTTGGTTGTACTTTCATGAGCTGAAGAAATATGTTATTGTCGATGAATTTACCTTCCAGGTTATTGTATTATGAGGTTGGATAATATAGAAGTTAGCAAGGATAGACCTGGCAGGAGTTTTTCTATTATGCAATGGAGCCTTTTTGCCACATGTGTCTTTTTTTGCAGTGGTCACTGGTATGGTGCAACTTTTATAGTTTAACTTTTGGAGTTATAACTATAATTTCTTTTCAAAGATTATATATAACTTCATAGCTTTCTTTGTCTTGAATTCTGTTGGTATTTTTTTCAGGTGTGCGTTTGATGGTCTCCGCTATGGGGCTGCATTTATAGGGTAAGTAATATGTTATAATGCATGCTTTTTATTTTTAATGAGTACATCAACACCTAAGGTACATTTGGTGTTAGATGTTGGAACTCTTGCACAATTAAACAAATGTAACCACTGCAATCTGCCTACATTAAAATTGTTTCTGTATGGGATGTTTGATCTCTTTCTGTTTTTACTTTTATTATTACTTCTCACTTGGTAAATTGATCATCTAAATAGTATTTCATTTTCAGGTTTGAAGAATTTAAGCTTGTTCGCCAAGCAATCCTTCTAGCAATTGATACCTTTGGTTTTTCTATCATCCTTCCAGTCTTCGGGCTCCCATTTCTTGTTGCATCGAAGTATCATGACAATCTAGGAAAGCATTTTATTTTAACACAATTATCTCAAGTGAGTGTTCTTCTCCTTTTGTAGATCCACTGCTTGATTACTAAATGGTTTGCGTGTTCATGTGTTCATCGTAATGACAATTCTCTGTTTTATATAGATGTATACAACATATGGGCTCATAACAGCAGTTATAACCACTTTCACTATACTGTGTGTCACTATCCAAAGGCGGCACCTGATGGTAAATGGATTATTTTAATTTCAGTAATTTTCATCTACTACAAATATCTGGGTATTTGATGTCATGATAATACACCAAAGGAATAATTAATTTTAAATTTTGCAGGTTTGGGGCTTATTTGCTCCGAAGTTTGTTTTTGATGTCTTTGAACTTATTCTTACTGATGTGTTGATTTGTTTGGCTTCAATTTACTATTTCGATCAAGAGAATGACAATGATGTTGAAGTGAAATCATCTGACTGCTGAAGAACACACAAGGATCAATTTACATTTTTTTTTTACATATGTTTTTGAGTTTCCATAGTGTTATACTGTCACTTTAGTTTAGATTGATAGTTATTTGATTTTTGTTTTTTTGTGTTTAACATAGCAAAACTGTGAGAGTATGCGATAGCACAAGGACTTCAAAGTTTAGATTGATATTTATTTAATTTTGTTATGACAATCCCCTTAAACTAATGGCATTCACGCACTTGCATCCACTTTCCATGGCATGAAAGAATTTTGAAATTGTATCATGATCTGAATTTTTACAAGCCTGCCATGCTATTAGAAAGTAATAGCCATTATACATCAATTTCAATCAAATATACCAAAGTGTCATGGTTTTTTTAAAAAAAAAAAACGAACAATATAGAGCTGCCGCCCATTCTAAGGACGGGCTCTCTTAAACAAAAAACGGGCTCTCTTAAACAAAAAAAAAACAAAAAACCGTCGGGCTCTCTTAAACAACAACAAAACCTGAATGGGCGGCCGTTATTATTAATAATTAATATACATTACACACACGTCCGCGTCCACACGCACACATTTTTAATAATTAATAAAATTAATATTAATAATTTATATATATTAATATTAACAATTAATATATTTTAAATAAATAATTAACAATTATTAATTGTTTTTAATTATTATAATTTTATTATTAGTTAATAATAAATATATGTTAATTTGATTTTAATTATTATAAATTAATTTTAAATAGTTTAAATTAATTTATATGTATATAATTTTTTTATTATTTAAGTGCAGTTCTGTCACTGCAATGAGCGGATTATTTGAATATTTTATTATTTAAGTGCAGTTTCGTTAGTGCATGGGCAGATCATTTGAATATTTTATTATTTAAATATAGTTTTGTCACTGCAATGAGTTGATCCTTTGAATATTTTATTATTTAAGTATAATACGGATTTGATATAAATAGAGGTGTGTTTTGATCTATTTTTTCACTTTTAATCCCAATTTTTTGTAATAGTGTTAACCTCTATCGTCGCCACTACGGAAAAGTGATTTATTCGAGAGACAAGTCCTAGATGGAGATGCTCTTTTGAAACATCCAAGGTTTCGATCAACTATAGAAGGAGTTGATTTGTTGGTTAGATGGAGACATACCCGAAGACGAAAAAATTAGAAGAATTGAGAGACAGGATGCGATGCGTGGGTGATGCGAGTTAAGGCTGACAAGGATGCAACAAAAGTGACATTTAGACCAAATAATATCAGTCTGATTGTTGTAATAAGTTAGATATGTTGTGATTAAGTATTTTTATCTATCTTGATATATGTTGTATGCGTTGTTTATTTAAGCCCGTTGTTGTTCGTTTTGTGATATCTGATATCTTGTTATTTATATTTAATACTCAATGATTAATGTTTCAAAAAATTGTGACGTTTGATGGCAATCTGAAAATGATACATGATAACAAAATAAAAAACTAAGTATTACTAGTTCCAACATTGAGATACTGAGTTCGAATGTGACTAGTTTGACAATACGTGGAACATTTTCTCTCAAGCTTATCAACGATATCCATTTCTATTCTAATACGTGTGCTCACTGGACGACTGATCTCCTTCATAAACAGGTCAATATTCATCGTATGACAACACTGAAAATCTTGTGATGTAAACCCCAAACAGGTTTGCAACCCTATAAACATTGGACAAAAGAGCATAGGCGTCACGATGCACATTAGAACATGCAGCGGTAACATGTGAGCAAGGGACACGGTATGCCTGAAACTTTCTGCAGTCACACCAGCCATTTATTAGGTTGACCTTGTAATTTCCATAGACTTCCCCTCACTATGGTCTATTGTCTCCTTCATACTGAAAGTCTCGTTAGTGTAGTAAAAAATTCTGACTTTATGTATGCTGGATTTTGCTGTTTCTTCTTTCATCACCTTAACACAATTGTCTGTAAATGTTTGTCCTGAATTCAACACTACGCTCCACTTTGCACCTCTTTCAACAAATAATGATCCCAATCTATAGTATGTTGCACTTACCAATGTTGTAATAGACAAATTATGCGTGCTTTTATAGACTGCATTTATTGACTCAACAAGGTTGGTTGTCATACGAACCCAACCCCGACCCTCGTCAAATGCCCTTATCCATTTTTCTGCTAGAATATTGCCGATCCACCTTAAGCATCACCATTAACCATGCCAATTTTATTTTGATAATAATAAAATGTTGGTTGATTTAAAGTATAACCTATATATTTTTAAAAACAGGTTAATGTTGAAATATATTTTTCTATACTATATGTTTTGTTATAAATTATATTTTGTTATATGTATCTACTATATTTATTTATAATATATGTGGGATATTTGATCGAACTCTAGTATACTGTCGGAGTAATGCGTGTTGTAGTCGAAGTTTGTTCTGACATGCATTAGTCAATATTACTAGGTTTGTTAGCATGTTGAATTGGGTCTTGCTTGTAAGCTCAATTGTTTAAGTTAGCTTGTACCCTAAGTTAGCTTGTAATGGATAATTGTTAAAAATCCCATTAGATTAGTGTGTTAGTTTTCTTATAAATAGCATGCTAGTCTCTCAACTTGTATAAGGAAAAATAGGAAGATAAAATTCTAATTCAAGAGAGAGAGAGAGAGAGAGAGAGAGGTTATTTGTTATTCTTGTATACTTGTAATCTTGTTAAAAGAGAAAGGAAAGAATAACAATTTATAATCAATCCTTGTTGTTTTACCTTGCTTTCTTTGTTAACCCTAACCCTTGTGTGTTTCTTGACTATAAATAAGTCGTTTATATTTTGTTTCAAGGCATCCTATTCACAACAAATTGGTGCGGTGAGCGTGGAGAAGATGCCTTCAACAAAGTATGAGATTGAAAAGTTCACCGGAGTGAATGACCTCGGTCTGTGGCGCTTGAAGATGAAAGCCCTACTGGTTCAGCAATTTTTTTTGGAAGCGTTGAAGGGAGAGGCAACCATGGACGTTGCGTTAACGACAAAAGAAAAGACAACCATGATTGAGAAAGCCCATAACGCAATATTGTTGAGCCTTGGTGATAAGGTTCTTCGACATATATCAAAGGAGACTACAACATTGGGATTATGGGTGGAACTTGAAAGTTTATGCATGATTAAATCTCTGGTGAATCCACTCTACCTGAAGCAAGCTTTGTATTCTTTCAAGATGAGTGAAGACAAAGTGTTGGCTGAGCAGTTGGATATGTTCAACAAGCTGATTCTTGATCTTGAAAATATTTATGTGAAGATCGATGATGAAGATCAAACACTGTTCCTGTTGTATGCTCTGCCCATAACACATGCTCACTTCCAAGAAACTCTCTTGTATGGAAGGGAGTCCTTGAGCTTTGAATCAGCCTTGTATTCTAAGGACTTGAACGAACGAAAGGAGCATAAACCTTCGACGGTGGGCGAAGGTTTGACCGTTAAGGGAAAATTCTTGCGAAAGGATGGTAAGTTCGACAAGAAGAAAAGTAAAAGTCAACAGAAGTCTTATAGTGGAGAAACATCTGGTATTCGATGTTATCACTGTAAGAAGGAGGGTCACACAAGAAAGGTGTGTCCTGAATGCCTAAAAGATCACGGAGGTAAGGATAATGACAACACAACCATTGTTCAAGATGACTTCGACTCATCTGATGTTCTTGTGGTTTCAAGTGGTGACTCAAGAAAATAGTGGATTATGGGTTTAGGTTACACTTGGCACATGACTCCAAACAGAGAATTGTTCGAGGAGCTATGTGATCAAGATGGTGGATCGGTGCTGTTGGGAAACAACAAATCTTACAAAATTGCAGGTATTGGATCTGTGAGATTCAAGCTCCATGACGAGTCAATAAAGTTATTGATTGAAGTCAGGCATGTACCTGATTTGAAGAGAAATTTTATTTCTCTTGGTGAATTCAACAGGAAGGGATATGTTTTTCAAGGAGAGAAAAGTATCCTAAGAGTCATGAAGGGGTCGAAGGAAGTCTTAAGATGTGTGAAGAAATAAGGCTTGTATACCCTTGAGGATGAGGTTGTAAGTGGTTCGACAAATGTTGCATCCACAAAACCTGTGTCGAAGACAAAATTATGGCACATGAGATTGGGCTATATCAGCGAAAGAGGTCTGGTCGAATTGGGGAAGCAGAACCTGCTAGGAGGTAAAAATTCGAAAAGTTGAAGTTTTGTGAATCTTGTGTATTTGGTAAATCCTGTAGGGCGAAGTTTAACAAAGGCAAGCAAAGAACACATGGATTTATGGATTGCATTCATGCTGATCTTTGGGGGCCTGCAAGGAATCCTTCACACTTAGGTGCAAGGTATTTTCTATCCATCGTTAATGACTATTCCAAAAAGCTATGGGTATTTATCTAGAAGATGAAGGATGAAACTTTTGAGAATTTCAAAAGTTTGAAGGTTTTGGTCGAAACTCAAACTGGCAGAAAGGTTAAGAGGTTGAGAACCAACAATGGTCTTGAGTTCTGCAACGAAGCGTTCGACAGTTATTGTGTTGAGTCTGGGATTGTAAGGCATAATACTGTAGCAGCTACTCCTCAACAAAATGGCTTAGCTGAGAGATTAAATCAAACAATCCTTGAAAGGGTTATATGCATGTTAGTTAGCGCTAGATTGAAGGTGTTCTGGGCGGAGGCGAGGCTGTTTCGAGAACAACTTATTTGATAAATAGATATCCCTCAACTGCCTTGGGAATGAAGACACCTGAAGAAGTTTGGTCGAGACATCCATCTAGTCTCGACAGACTGAGACTATTTGATTGCGTGGCCTTTTCTCACATTAGGTAAGACAAGGTCGAACCTAGAGCTCTGAAATGCATGTTCATGGGATACCCTGAAAGAGTTAAAGCTTATAGGCTATGGTTCCTAGAGCCAGGTCACAGGAGGTATATCACCAGTAGAGATGTAGTTTTCAATGAAGCAAAGATGGCTTTTAAGAAAATTGATGATGCTGATAAAGA